AAACCGCAATGTAATTCACGAATTTTTTTTATCAACTGGGTGGGTTTTCAATAGTGGGTTTCTCAATTTCAGTTCGTGTAGGACGTTTTGCTTTAGGAAGCTTACTGGGCTCGCCAAATCCACTGGATTATTCAGGCTAACTATTGCGTCTTCTCTGAATCCAATGTTAACCAATTTCTTAGTTTCCAGACCGTTGGTATCGTAGATGGTTCTGATGTTTAGAACAGAATAATCGTCGTTGTCACTGATCCACTCTTCTGTCCAAGCGTTAATCACTTCACATATTTTTTCATCAATTCTCGCTTGTGATTCTTCTGGGGAGTATGAAAAATTCTGATTATTTACAACTTTCTCTACATTAATTACAGTGGGCCTTCTTTCTTTCGATTTACATAATCCTCAAAAGTATCCTTTTTATTTACAAATGTTACAAATTATTTCCTTCGCCGGGCACACATTCAAATGACCCTTGGTGAACGCGTTCCCACACTTCATACAGGTATTAGATTTAGTTGTATAAGCCTTTCTCGTCTATGATATTTTGGTTGAGTGCGTTCACTGGATTAATTGTTTCCGAGAATAATCTTTGTTATAAGTCACAGTTTTTCATGCTCCAAATAAATACATCTCTTATTCACTCCTGTTCGGCGGTGATGCCAATTTCACATGATTTTGCTAAATCAAACAATGCACCCCAAAATTGTTTGAAGGATTCCCGGTCCTTCTGTTTTCTGCTTAGCATTTTAAAGCGTTCGGACGTATTATTATTGGGTTTGATAAAAGCTGTTTGATTGGGTCGAAAAATTCTTTGAAGGAGATTGCTAATACTTTAACCCTTGGGTGTTTTTGAGCGAAAAATCTCTTTCCTTCAGCTCCTATGGCCAGATTCAAAAATGAATCTTTTGTCGGCCTTGTATCTCCTCATACCTCCGAATTTTCTTTTCACCTCTGTAAGTCGTTTATCTTCTCCGTGTTCGTAGACGCTAAGATAGAGTTTGTAGTTTCCAGTTCCAATGGTTCTTTTAGATTATCTATATCTAAATTCTCCTTGGCGATGATAGCCAGATGAAATTGGTATATCCAGTTGGTCCATTGGGTGGGTGGTTCTACGGTGTGATTTGGCCGAAAGGCGGGAGTTCCCCGCAGATTCGAATCAGTTGATGACTGCGCCATAATAAAAGTCTGCAAATACCACTGGTAATCTAATCTAACTAAACTAGGTTAAAAAGACTAAAATAAGATATTGAAATGAAACTGACCGATGTTTCCAAAGAACAACTAGTGATGCGAAGTCCAATGGACTTCGAAGAGTAAATATTGACCGGTACGTAATTATCACATAGAGGTCAATTCAAAACATAACAAAAGTACTTAATCACAACAGGCTCATTGCGGAATCCGCTTTAAATTCACAAAATGCATAGTTTGGCCTCGTAAGGTTATACAATCTGTAGATGGATGGTTTTCATAGAAAATCTCGTTTTTTTTACAAACTAAGTATTATTTCACATTCAGGGCTTGGCCTCGATAGCCGAGCATTTTTGTTTGGTTTTGTAATAGTTTTTTTTGATCTGTAAGCCAAAACATTTTTTCCTACTTTTGCTTGAATTTGTGGCTTGATTGGTGTTTTCTTTCCGACAAATTTATTTATTTGGGCAAAAATTTTTTTGGTTAATGTTTTGATTTTGTCCCTTGAATCTTTGCTATTTGAATGAAAAAAGACTGCTCGTATCACGGTGAAGCCCTGAGTGTTTCGATTGTATTTTAGTGTCTATGAAGCAGTGTTCCTTTCAGAAAAGGATGAAATTTTCAAAAAGAGAAAAGAAAAAATTTAAAATTTTTTGAATTTTATTATCCCCTACCCGCCATATAAAGTACAGAGTGATAGATTTTGCTCCTAGCATCAAATCAGTTATGGCAAAAAAGCTTCCTTCAACCAATTTGGAACAATTTCTAAGACGGATTAAATCTCCGCTTACGCGCTAATAGCTCGAAATATATCGCGAGTTAATTGTCCCAAATTGGCAGTAATGGCAATCTTTAAACCCTCAAAATTTTATGGATAATGATTACAGGTAAACTGTTTTTTCAAACTTGAGCTCAAGACAACAATACCATTCGACTGATAAAAATAAGTTTGTCAAAAATGTCTTAGTTAAAAAGTCGAAGTTTGTCTGAAGAAAAAACCCCACCTCGAGCACAAATATAGTCCGTTACTTTCGCTACGAAAATTGGATCAATAATCTTTTCAGTGAAAACCCTGTTTTGAAATCTTAGGTGGTGTTGAAGGTTCCGGATAAATACATTGAGATATTAAATGCGCACTATATACCAAACTTCAATGAACGCGTAGGCGACAAGACGAAACAACCTGGGGATCAACTTTCAGCAGAACAATCATTTGGCATAAAAGGGGAATACAGGGTCTTTTAACAACAAGCCTACCAAAATTAACTGAAAAGTAACTAAGAGACAGACGCAAAGAGAAGCATAAATTGGCTTGGAAATTACCTAATTATGACAACAGCTATTCACCCGGTGTGTCAAAAAAACATCAGTTTCAAAAACATAATAATCAAAAATTACAAAAGACAAAGACTCACAAACCAAGTACTTCTCGAGCTGAAAAAAAAGGCGTTGAAACGAACCAGAGCAAGCTGTCGCTACTTGGAAACTTAGAGGTCAATTCAAAACATAACAAAAGTACTTAATCACAACAGGCTCGTTGTGGAATCCGCTTTAAATTCACAAAATGCATAGTTTGGCCTCGTAAGGTTATACAATCTGTAGATGGATGGTTTTCATTGAAAATCTCGTTTTTTTTTACAAACTAAGTATTATTTTACATTAAATTTTTTCATTTTATTACTGCTTCATTGAACTTGAAATGCAGTTGGAACATTCAGGGCTTCACTCTGATACGAACAGTCTTGTTATATTTGAATTGATTTTTGATTCGAGTTCAGACGACAGCCGGAGAAAAACGACAATAATTTTTTTGAAGTTCTGTTATTATTGTTCCGATTTTCGAAGTAAACTCAAAATTTATGCTTGATGTGGTTTTTTAGCGTCAAGTTTTGGCAATCAAAAAAACATTTTTAACAAGATATTTTTATGCCTCATTGAAGATATCAACTCCCTGAAATCAAATTTATAAAATAAAATTTTTGACATCCGATGATTCTCTGCAAAACTTTGGGAGTTAGAAAATTGTCAATTTGGTCATGCTCTGGACTTATTTATGCGCTCACTGAAGATTTCCCCGATTGTCCTGACAGCGTAACCTGAAATGTTCATGCGTGGCAAATTATCCAGAAGAACCAAATCATTCTAAATTGAATTGAGGCTAGCTAGTCTGACGTTTTATTTTTGTACGATACAAATTTTTTCAATTGATTTTTTACATTGTCCAAAATTTATTTGGGCAACAATTTTTTTGGTTAATGTTTTGATTTTGTCCCTTGAATCATTGCTATTCGAATGAAAAAAGACTGCTCGTATCAGGGTGAAGCCCTGAGTGTTTCGATTGTATTTTAGTGTCTATGAAGCAGTGTTCCTTTTAGAAAAAGGATGAAATTTTCAAAAAGATAAAAGAAAAAATTTAAAATTTTTTGAATTTTATAATCCCCTACCCGCCATATAAAGTACAGAGTGATAGATTTTGCTCCTAGCATCAAATCAATTATGGTAAAAAAGCTTCCTTCAACCAATTTGGAACAATTTCTAAGACGGATTAAATCTCCTCCGCTTACGCGCTAATAGCTCGAAATATATCGCGAGTTAATTGTCCCAAATTGGCAATAATGGCAATCTTTAAACCCTCAAAATTTTATGAATAATGACTACAGGTAAACTGTCTTTTCAAACTTGAGCTCAAGACAACAATACCATTCGACTGATAAAAATAAGTTTGTCAAAAATGTCTTTGTTAAAAAATCGAAGTTTGTCTGAAGAAAAAACCCCACGTCGAGCACAAATATAATCCGTTACTTTCGCTACGAAAGTTGGATCAATAATCTTTTCAGTGAAAACCCTGTTTTGAAATCTTAGGTGGTGTTGAAGGTTCCGGATAAATACATTGACATATTAAATGCGCACTATATACCAAACTTCAATGAACGCGTAGGCGACAAGACGAAACAACCTGGGGATCAACTTTCAGCAGAACAATCATTTGGCATAAAAGGGGAACCCTGTATTTTAACAAGCCTACCAAAATTAACTGAAAAGTAACTAAGAGACAGACGCAAAAAGAAGCATAAATTGGCTTGGAAATTACCTAATTATGACAACTGTTCACCCGGTGTGTCAACAAAACATCAGTTTCAAAAACATAATAATCAAAAATTACGAAAGACAAAGACTCACAAACTCAGTACTTCTCGAGCTGAAGGAAAAGAAAGGCGTTGAAACGAACCAGAGCAAGCTGTCGCTACTTAGAAATTAAGCAATGACGCGTTTGAAGTCAGCATTCTGACTCTGACTTGTTAATTGTTATGAGTCTGCTAAAATGTCGGTTTGCTGAAAAACCTAGCCCTAAATATTCCGGACAAGGAAAACATTTCAAATTGATTTGAAGCAAACTAACTGACCCAAAGAATGCTTTAGCAAGCGAAAAAATATATAAATATTTGACATTGAAAATGACCTCCCGCGTCTTGATTTTTTTTTTTTTTTTTAAATTTAAGCAACTGTTTTAAGGAAAATCTACTTCAGGCAAGTAAAATGCTCTTCGAAAAGTTTTAACCCTTGTCAAAGGTTTTAAAACTGAACACATTAAATGATTTCGTCATAATTTTAGGCTTGATGATTATAACTGTAACGATGATAAATAAAGTTCTTTTCAGAAAATTTTGGTCACTTTTTGCTCTGCAGTCATTTGGCAACTTGTAGTGCGCCAATGAAATTGACAAATTTTCCCTTTCTGTTATATTCAACTGCTTCTAACCTAAATAGCAGTATTATCATAAAAGTTATAAATAGAAAATGTCAATTGGCATATGAAATAAAGATTATTTTTTTGTTTAAAAAATATAATAGTTAGAAATTTTTAATATGTTACAAGTAATTTTCATGTTCGGTTCCTGAATTCATCCTGGAGTCTCTGTTGTCCGGAGGCTGGTTTGTCTGGACTGGCAAGGCAGAGTGGGACTTGGGCATTGTGGATGACTTGTTCGGGTTAGAATTCAGGTACTCGTAATTGAGCGGGTCATACTCATGGTTCAGTTGCGAGTATCTGAAGAGAATGAAATGAAATGACAATCTACACAATGATTTAGTTTCCGAGAAGGGAACAGTTTGCGCATAATTTACTATATTTCAATCATACCATCGTGAAGGAACCTCAAAAGCCAATTAACTGCCTTTCGAGTGGTGTCATCATTAAGTACAGAGTGGTGAAAGAAGTGTGAATTAATTTTCGAAGCAGTTTGGATCCAATTTAATTATCAAGCGGAGAAAAAAAGGTACATTTTTGCTACAATGTGAGTCATCTCGTGGAAATTTTAAAAAACTCACCGTTATTGCTTAACCTGGCAATTTTGAGAAAACTACTAAGTTGTTATCTATATTTCTGAAGTTTTTACGCAATGTGCCAATATTTTCGTAAATTTGAAAGTAATTAAAACACTATAAAACATTCAGACGAACGGCCTTTTTATAGACTACGAAAAAACCGCAGTATTCTATGCGCGCTCCGTTTTCAAAAATATACATCTTCGATTAAAAAGGAAACAGTTTAGGAGTAATTGGGTTCGATTAAGTAAGGAGTAATTGGATGAGAAAGGTAGCATTAAATGAGGACTCAACAAACAAAATTCTTATCAGTACGAAATTTTTGATTGGACAAATGGCACATACATTTTAGCTTCAAAGCTACAATTAGTTTAGGAGGATTTACAGCAATTATGTATTCGAGAACTCTTGCTGATTAATATTAACACAAGATTTCATAGACTCACACACAAAATGAAATTGATAGGTGCATACCTGTCTGTCGGTGCTCGGTTCGTATCACTCGGCGTCCGAGAGTACAAACTAGACGATTGATTTGAGCTCGGATTGTTCTCGTTTTTACCCGAGGGCTTACCCCGTGTGTAAACATGACCCGCTGGTCGTTTCTGGAAATTATTTGTCCCGGTTGAATGATGAGGCTCGTAGGTTAAGTCGGGCATGCTTTTATGAGGAGGGAGGTCGTTTGGACCCATGCTTATTTGCGACTCGGGTCGTAGAAAAGTTTGTCGTGGACCTGTTTTCAGAACGAACGATATGCCCGAGGCTCGAACCGCATCTTGGTGCATTTTGTTTGAGTTTTTCCGCAACTCGACTTGTTCGGGCGGCTTCATTGCCAACTCATCGTCTTCTTGGCTCAACATATTGAAATGTTTTTGAGCGTGTTTATACTGACAATAATACCAAACTGCTACAAAAATGACACAAATCAGCAAAATTGTCAAAATAACAATTATTGAGACCCATATCAAATCCAAGAAAGTGAATTTTTCATCTTTTTCTTGAATAATCACTTGGTTTTCGCTGTCGGCAATAACTTTGTAGTCAAATTCGAAACTTCCTAACTGTGACGCTATTTGGAATCGTTCGTTAAGAACTGCTTCGATAATTTGTCGCGATACCAAGAGTGAATTAAAGCAGAATTTGAACTTAAGCTCTTCAATCGCGTATTCAGCGCTTGCATAGCGACTGGTTTCTACATTTTGGTCCGCAGAACAAATTCTTAGAAACTTGCAATAATCGGAAACCGCGAACGAAATAGCTGAAGAAAATGTTGTCTCAGAAAGATCAAAATATTCGTCTTCAGTGAATGTAATTTCGAAGCATTCCTCTTCAGAATTCAGCTGTAAACTTGCAGCATCCACTATAAAGTTTGGCCCGGCTGTCGGTTTTTTTACCCCCGATGTCAAAAGTTTCCGAAAACTTTCGGCGCCAAAATTGATATCGTCTATTATTTCGAGGGCAAAATTAACAAAAAGACCAGGCGAGAATGAAAATACCATCAAGTTATGATAACCACTTAAGCTAGTACTTTGGGCAAATAGTTCATCAAAATAGGATTTCACGCCTTGTTCGTACTCGGAGTAAAGAGTTGATTGGTGATCAGTTAATTGCATCAAAAAAAAGTTGTCGTATTGAGGATTGGTGATATTTATACTTCCATAAATTTTGCCATAACTAGTTGCTTCACATGATTTTAGCAGAAAGTCTTCGTTCTTTTGCAAGTTTTTGTCGCTATAATATTCAACAACGAATTCAGCGCCGAGGTTTCCTTTTGTGATTTCGATGACAACAAACTCGTTATTTCCGAATGATTCAACAGCTGGACCGACAGCACTCGAGTCGGGTGCCCTCCACGACTCCATTTTAGCCATTGCCGTTGGGTAATACAATGTAATTTGGTCGCCTTGTGTCGAGCTAATTTTGTAAAACCTCGTTTGCAGCCGAGATGTTGTAGGGATTGTATAGTTGCAGAGACTTCTGGGTTTGAACATTAACACTCCGAAATTGGGGTTGCTGCAAACTGAGTTGCATTGGCAACATTTTGGCAAATTATCTTCACTTGAAGCTGATGAAAAAAGTACACCGGGAAAAAATCCCAACAAAAACAACAGCAACATTCTTAAACCTAGGGTGAATTTGTGATATGTGTCGCAAAAATAAAAATTTCTGTAGCTTTTCTAGCTAATAAAAACCTGTACCATTTCTCATGTATGTGCGTCTAATTTAAAAGCAATTTCGAATATTAATGATAAGTAGATAATTGTTGAGGTGTAAATGAATATGAGTCCTAAGATGGAGAAAATAACAATTAACAATAATATATAAACACGCAGTGAGTAAAATGATAGAGCAATTAAGTTTTTTATATTGAAAAAAATTGTTTATGATAGTATACACCAAAAGTAAGATAAAACTAAACGCATAAGCAAACGAGTTTTAAATACACAATTATTGATCTTACCATGGTATAAAAGCTATTGACTACGCTGTCATGATTGCAAGTTTGGACCAGTTCAGAAATGGTGTTTAAGTCTGGACTTTAGTTTGTATACACTTTTATTTACAACTCGAAATACCTGTTTGCTAATGGAATTCGTTGGGTTGCACTCCTTTGTGTGGTTGTAATAAAATAAAGAACTTAATAAATACCAACAAATAGATATATCTTGCTTCACGTTTCTTTGGCTTAAGCTAAATAAGACTTTCTAGATTTCTAAACTAAACTAGATTTCCATGATTCAGGAGGAAAAGCTTCCGAGAATAAGTGGTCATAAAAACCACTCAGAAGGCTTACTGGCACAATGAAACTAGACTGCTTGAAAAGAGGGTATCATAAAAATTCAGGTTTGTGTACCACTAAGAGTCTCCTGGCAGTTTTGACATTAAACTGAAAACTAAGGCATTTATTTATCGTGCCAACCATTTTGGAAAACCTGAAAAATGATCCCTGAGCTGACCAAAAAAAAGCGCATCTTAACCCCTATTTAGACTCCTAAGTTTAACTTTAGCTTTGAATGATTCATTTTCTACGAAAGAAAGGTGCGCAAAAAAATTTGTCCCCGGGCAGATATAGGATTTTTTTGGAAGGAATAGGAAACTTTTTGTGTCTATTTTTTTATAGAGTTACAAATTCTACGCTCTCCTGAAATCACATAATTTGATTAAAAAATTGCACTGCATTTTTTTTGAGACAAAAAAGTATATGGACTTGATGGCGGCAAAAAATTTTGCAAAATTGTTTGTTTTTATCTTGATGGCTGCAAAAAATTTTCCAAAAACGTTTGCTTTGCAAAAACAAAAAATTATCGAATGATTTTTGGATGTCGACTGAAACTAACAGAATTTTCTATTCTTTGAAGTGATCTGCAGCAGTATCGAAGCGTACATATGCATAAATTCTTTAATTACGTCGACGACGTTGTTAAAACTCTCGCAAATTTGTTAAGTGTCATACTCAAAGTATTCATATTCAGTTTGATTTTCTGAAATTTTGATGGCTCGGGTTGCTTACAAGATAACGCAACTTAGAGAAACTCAATATCCAATCAACTCGCACCTAACTATTCTTGACTCCCCTTGAACAACGTATAGATTTACAGTAAAATATATTAGCAAAGAGGACTTCTCGTATCGGGACGAAGCCCTGAATGGGGCAATTGCGTTTTAACGTCAGAGGAGTAGTTGTGGGTTAACAAATTTCATGAAGATTTGAGAGGAAATGAAAAAATTTAATGTTGTTTCCCTCTGCAAACGACTTTGCATCTAATAAAGTATTATCAAATCAAAATGAAAAACGTCAATTCAATTTCATTGGATTTTGTTTGACGTTTACCCATTAAAAAAACCATGATGGTGTTTTCTCATGCGCTCAGGATCGAATGAATAAAAATTTTGTCCACCAATCAGAGCTCAAAAGTTCACCAATCAAATCATTCAAAATTTCGAAAGAAATAAGCAATGATCTATGTTAGTTTTGAAGAGTTTGATGGTCGTTGAATGATTAAAAACTTTCGCGCATTTAGTCTTTAGCGAGAATAGCGCCCATATTGCACGTTAATTATCCTCAAATAGTCAAATTAGCATTTGTACCAGACCTTAAAATACAAATACCAGACCTTAAAAAACAAAACAGCTCGTGTATGATGGCAAAGTACTGAATGTTCCGATTGCCCTTTACAGCTGATGAAATAACGCGCACCTATCATTCCAAATAGATCAACTTTGCAATTTTCAAGTCCCTATCAACTTTTTCAGAATAACTTAGGCTGAGAAAATTTTTTGAGCTCAGGGAAGCAAAAGTTTTCAGATGATGTAAGAAAACTTTGTCAAAACACTTGGATGAATAGCAGAAACTTGATTGAACAAGGAAAGCATCACAAGCTCGTCTATAAATTCCATGCTTTTAAGTTCCCAGCTTATCCTTAAGTTCCATATGATGAAACCAACCCAAGCTCATTTTTAAGTTTCTTTCGAAGTAGTAACAACAAAATTACTCTAATGTCACGACAAAGCCCTAAAAGTTCGACTGCCACTTAAAGCTTAAGAAAAAGTTTTTCCTTCAGCTTTAAGGGGCAGACGGAACATTCAGATTCAGGTCTTTTTGATGACACGCGATTTTTTGTTCTGATTTTAAACCAAAAAATCGAAAATATATGTTGAGGGTATTTAATTCAATCAGTCAACTTTCGACTTTATAACTAAGCGTTTTCAAAAAGGAGGAAGATTAAAAAACTATTTTTGAATTTTTTTTTTAATTTTCTCCTTCCACGCGTTACCTAAATTACAGTGAATTGTAATTAGCGTCTCATATCGTTTTGTTTGGACCAAAAATAGCTAGTCTAAATTCAATTTAGAATGAAATAATTTGCCGCTTGCGCGATTTATAGGAAAGCAAGATAATTATTCAAAAAATGGCCAAATTGGCAATTTTCAAGCCCCGAGCCCCATAACTTTATGAGATATGATCACAGGTACAAAATATTTAAGTTTCACCTCAAAAGAACAAACAACGACATCTTTTTAGAAAGAAATTTGTAAAAAAAAACTCTAAAACGCAAAGTTTGGTCGAATAAAAAAACCTCAAGCATAAATTTTTGGTCACGCTTTCTTTGAGAATCGGAAGAAAACTGCTCATAGTGAAATAAGTTCTCATTTAGAGCTCAAGATTCTCTTCAAAAAACTGTTAAACTTCTCGCAAGTTTTTAGCCTCTAAGTCAAAGTTTTCTGATGAAAAATTCCACGAGTACACATACTACATCACTTTTAGAAAATCTAAAATTTTTCATACGTTCTATTGTTGTGACTGCACTGTTCTTGAACAACTTTTGCGAACAAAATTAAAATGATTTAGGTCAACTAATGTCAATCCGTTCGAGGCTGCTACTGAAATAAGTAAGTCGAAATGAAATATACAAAAGAGGTCGTAATTTGTAAATTTTGAGAAACAACTGATTGATAGAAGATAACCTCATTCTTGTTTTTTGTTTAATTGCTTAAGCAGTAACTACAAATTTGTTCAAAATTAGCTGATATACAAAACTACTGAACCAATTCGAGAACCCTGACAATTAAAGAATTGAAATGCGTAGTAAATTGACAATTCAAGTTACGAGACCGGGAAAATGGAAAGATCCTGTCTGATGATTTAAGTTGAACACATGATCTCAAGCCAACTCTCCGAAAGCTTCTGTTAAACCGACTGACCATAAATGTTTCCGAACAAATTACTGAGTTTAAAAGAGAATCAAAGCATATCAGACCGCAAAACTCAAAGCTATTGACCGCACGAGTTTAATTAGAACTCTTTAAACGCCTGAGCAAAATTGCTCGTATAAGGAATAATTTTCTAACTGTTTTTTTTCCGACTATCATTTTACGAAATTGTTTGTTTGTTTTTCCAGCCTCAAAATTCAACATCCGCAGATCTAAGATTTTTAAACTGAGTCTTATTAGGAACAAAATGACCAATTATGTGTCTCCGTTCATCTTGGAGGGATTTTTGATCAGGTTTAATTTTCCGCTAACGTAGCGCGTTAATAAAAAAAGACAACTAGTAATTCGCCGCGCTTATAACATTTCCCACTGAAGCTTTAAATATCAAAAATAAAATATTAAAAGAGCACTTCTTGCATTAGTTCGAAAAGGCAAAATTGGAATTTTTATCAAAATATTTTCAGGCAAAAGATATTTTCATTAAAATGAAACCAGGGTTTTGATATCTAGAGGTGAAAAAACATTTGTTGAAAACAATTCACTCGGAAAACCATGTAAATTTTATGAAAACTTGACAATTGAAAGCTAGAATTTTTGTCACGACAACATTTTAAAAAACATCAGATAATTTGTTCTTTTTTGATGCTTCTCTATACGCTGTTATGTACTTAGGATGCAAGAAATACAATCAGATAAAAACTTAAATTCATTCAAATCGCCCAATCAAATCAAATACGGTTAATCATTTAGAAAAAAAGTTAAAAGTTTGAGAAAGGAAAGCCGGTTGCTGTGCAAGGAGCACTTGATAATTTTATCACGTTTAATGAAAAAAACACTGACATTTTTTCAATAACTGTAAAAATAATTTTTTTTCTCATATGGTTTTATTGGGCACGTTGTGGAGAACAAATCTTGTGAAAAATGCACGTTCAATATCTTAAATTCACTGAATCTAGACTGACTGTTTTAGTCGTAAGGGTTGGCAACAATAACTCAAAACATACACCGACTTAACTAAGATTAGCAGGTACTTAATCAATTGTTAGCCGCACCAAACACATGGCCAAACCAATGGCGCCAAACAACATAACATAGTTAAGGACTAGTAATAATATATATATAACATTCCCTCAACGATCATTTTTTAAACAATGTTTTAAAAATTATCTGAGGGATAAATGTTTGAGTTTTAGACCCGCAGTGGTCCACCCTCTCCCTGGGCATAAGAATTAAGTTTAAATAGTTTTGTTTTCATTTCCCTTCACCCCATCTTCCAAGTTTTGTCTTCTTGCTTAGATCGTGTCCTGCTCTCTGTCTTCCTCTCCTTTGGTCGTTCTCACTTTGAATATGCTGTCTATCATAACACCGCCAAATTTGGATACCGCCGTTCGCTTTCTGGTACTTTTCCTTGATCCTGTCCCATCTTGGTCTTCTGATTCCTGGCTAGAATACGATACAAGCCGTAGACGTCGCCCTCGCTCCCCTTTCTTCTTTGCTTGTTTTTCCGGCTGTCCTTTGTTTCTCACATTCAGCCCACTTCCCCCTTGTTCAGTATTCATGGTTTGGACTTCAGTGTCCACTCCCTTGGATGTTGGCACGCCGCTTCCTTCGGATAAATTTGGTTTTTCCGCTAAGCCCTCTGCATTTTTCGACACCTTTGGTGCACTCAATTCCACGCCCCAATCGGATGCAACTGTTGTTTGCCCTGCGTATCGTGAAATCGTTATTGGCTCGTACTCCGAATCCGAGTTTGCTTCCTCCGCAGAATCCCGAGTTGGTGATATTTCTCGCGTTCTAATTTCGGCTGTACTTTGTGTACTTGTCCCCGCCGCCTGTTCGTTTTGAGGTTGTTTTAATTCCGCCCGACGTTTCAGTGCGCTCACAGCGGGAGGTGGTAGTGTGATTTGGCTCGCACTTTTCTGCGCGTTGGGCTTGAGG